GTTCGGCTGTCGCCCGCTGCACCTGCAGCCACGATTTTCCGTGGATTGCCCCAACTGCAGCTGCTCGCGACACCTCGCACATTTTTGGCGTGATCTCGATCTCCGCAAGGCGTGTCACGCGTTTTTTACGTGACCAAAATCCGCTTACAAAATTTTGATTCTTTTTTTTTAACTGGAAGATCTAATCAGTTGAAAGCTAAAATTTGTGGACAGCGCATGTTACAAGTGTCTCTCGGATTTCTTGCGCAAACCTGTCTTATTTTTGCCTTGTCTGCGAATTCATAATCTTTTTTCCCACAAATTGATCTCGTTTGGAAAACTTTTGAGCCATATAGCCCTGCATATACATACAGATGAGCAGTCATCTATGGCGTCATTGAATCAACGTAGCTAATATAATTAACATATATACTGACGTGACATCCGTGTAATTATATTACATTGAATTACCTGAATTATAGGTGATTAGCGTTGCCCGGCGATCTATTGATCTAGTTTGTTAATCATTCCGTAATATTCCAAGTTTATGAGAAACGCCAATCTAATAAACGTACCGTGGGTGGGCGGTATCATATAATCGCTTATTATTGGTTGCATAGCCTGCTAATCGGAACCACATCGGTTACAAGATAACTTTATCACGTGCATAACGTGATTTACGTGTACGCGGTATCGTCTATGCCCGAAGCGAATATATACGTATGCAAGTTTAACATGGGGATGGTATGTATCACTTTATTCGTTCAGGTTTTTTTTTTCCGTCTCATTGAAATCCATTTATTGGTACAAAGAAAATATTCTCGTTTTACGAATGGATGTTAAGAGCGGAAAATATAATTTTCGCCTTGGTAAAAATATTAATTTCTTATTACAATTAAATTTATTACATTTATTAATAAATTAATAAAAAATGATGCAACAAAAGAAAACCCACATATAAAGCCACGTGTAAAAAAAATACACTGATTATAACGTTGGAAAAATAATTGCTTTTTGCCACGGATAGCTCACGAAAAAGCTCATAAAATAATATTGAGATGAGAGTGGCTACCCAACGGCTATCTGTAATAATAGCCATTTAATAGCCGTCAGCCTCTGAATAATCGAACGGAAAGCGCAGCATCCGTGAGTGAACGCTATGGCAACAGTAGGATCCCAGAGGATCTGAAGAGAGGAAAACTGAGAGAGCGCGCCACAAAAGCCGTCCGAGTACGTCTTTGTTTACTCCAGGCTATCTCCGTTCGCGTTTTCGTCTTTTCTCCGATTCCCCTCGTTCACTTTCGGTTCCTCCTTTCGGCGCCTCTCTCTCTCTCTCTCTCTCTCTCTCTCTGTTCCGTCGCTCTCCGAGTATCGCCAGTTCTTATCCCCTCGAATCGCCTTGCAGCTCTGACAAGACTCCTTTTATCTCGACGATATCGCGCTCGTCCCCCTCACTCCATCGTTTAAACAAACTTCTCTGTAATCGAGACTGAATCGATGGATTAAGAATCCAATTGCGAATCTTCCCCTCTTTCCTTCCGCCGTCATCTAACGTCTGCCTTATGTCTCACTTTCCGCGCACCGTAAAATCCCTTCAAACGTAACCCTTGCAGCAATAAGACGCGCACCACTATACTAGCTGGTATCCGCGACCGGAAAGAATCATGTAGGACGGGCGTTTTCCCGAAATACGTTTTCACCATTGCAGCGTGCTCGCGACGGGATCTCTATAGTAGTGGTAGAAGTAAAAGCAGCAACACAGCAGCAATGGCATCAGCAGCAGCAGCTTCAGCAGCAGCAGCAGCAGCAGCGGCGGCGGCGGCGGCGGCAATAAAGCTTGCTTTATTTTTACTATCCCTCCGGCCAAGTACCGCCCCGTATTTCCTCGGGATATTGACATATCGGGGGTGCCGGGGCTTCTCCTCTTAACGCCCTTTTTACACTGGCTCGGAATTTATGTCTTCTTCCTCCTCTTCTCGTTCCGCCCTCCTGCACTCTCTCTTCGCCCGGCACCCTCGTCTTCTCCGCCTCTCCATCTCGTCTCTTCCCCCGACCCCGCGTGCTCCCCTCCTGTCTTCCTCGTCTTGCTCCTCGTCGACGCGGTGACGACGGGGTTCCTCCTCTTGTACGCATCCCCCAATTCCCGTCCTTTCTCGGACAATCAATCACGCACGCGTATCTCCACGTTTCCGCAGAATCAACCAGAAATCTCTATTAGATGCCAAATCGGCGCGGCCTCTTTTACTCGGTGTCCCTCGATCGATTCTGTCGATCGTTCGGCCGTGGAATGACGTGGACGCAATCGTTACTGGCAACGATCCACATTCGTCGAGTACTTCCTCGACGAACGGGAACGCCATTTGGATGTAAAATCACAGATTAGGAATCTCGAGAAACGGACGGTGCCGAATTCTCGGAGCGGCAGTCAACTTTGGTGGGGAGTGGAGATATGTAATCCTGAGCGTGATAAGAAGCCCGTGACGTATAACACCGTTAAATCTATAGTGTCAAATTTAACCTTACTTAAGTCGCCACCGCTCCTACTTGATATAAAGTTTTTAACTAAAACAGTAATAGTTATTTTTAAATAAAAGACAATGGAGTTTGACTTAGAACCAAATTTGAATTAGAATCGAACTGCTTTAAATTATTTAACTCCACACGGAAAGAACAATTTTGCTGAATTCAAATCTGAAAATAATTTTTGTTCAATAGTCAAAATTATTTTGTGCAAAAGTCAAAATGATTGCTAGAATATCAAAACGTTTTACAGCAATACTTATCAGTTTTAACATTCTAACAAATTATTTTGATGATTCAAGAAAAAATTATTTTCAGATCTGTTTTTAGCAAAATTTTTAGGTCTTTCAACAAAATCGTTCTTTCCGTGCATTGTTTTAGTTAAAAATAACCATTTATTAAGAATAGAAGTAGTGGCGACTTAAGTAAAATTAAATTTGACACTATAGATTTAACAGTGCACCCATTTGTCTGTGTAAAAACTAAAAATCTATAATTATTGCCCTTACTAATTTCATATTTTGCAAAAAAAAATGTTATCTTTAAAGCATTCTTTCGATTTCACGATTATCGAAATCGTTGTTAAACTTACAAGCAAAAAATATTTCTTACTGTCACGGCGCAAGATCGATCAGGCGGAACATGCAATGACACCTATTCAATCCCGACGCGAGGTGTTATAAAGACTTTTACCAAGGTCGAATTCCGCAGAGTCAGCTAACACGACGTGACGTTCACTAACTTTTTGCGCAATCAGGCGAGAAGTTTTCTTCGCACTCCCCCCCCCCCTTGGACGGCAGAAATACCGCATGCAGTTCGGTGGACGGAGGGGACCTTTGTACTATATTAATAACCGTGTTTTTGTCGGTTCATCGAGCACGTTCGGAACGTTCTCCGGAAAGAGAAAGGTGACGATGATAAAAACGCGAAATCCGCCGCGGACGCAATCCGGTCGGCGGACGCGGAAAAACAATGAGCAACAACCCCGTTCGTCAAGGGGGTTGTATCCTTGCCTCCCTGCCCTCTGCCCCTCCTCTCTCCTTCCCCTGTCGCTCTCTCATTTTTCCGTTGCATTCCTATTTATTGGTGCCACGGGACGTATGGCTGCGTAAAGGTGCGTTGCAAAAAAAATGAAAAAAAAGGAGGACACGATAGCGCGCTACGAGAGGAATGCGAGGGGGGGGGGATGGGGGAAGGGTAGGAGGAGCGCGAAAGAGAGCCGCGAACGCGGCGGCGAAAAACGCAATATCGTGCCGGGAATGTCAAGCAGAATGAAAGCAGATCGAGTGGACGTTTTAAAATCGTCCGACAAAGCTCGCGGACCGTTTACCCAGGGTTGAGAGTCTTCCAGTATATGTAGCTCCGATGTACTGAAAAGCACACGACTGCGCCTCGTTACGGGACGCGCATTCGGTTACGATCCGGAGGATTGCGCTGCAGCTATATAAGCGTTGCCGATTATAGGTCAACTTTATTTGACATCGATGAATATATGCAGTTATGGCAATTAAACGACTCGTTGACGAGCGGCGCATTTGATACGCCATACGCCGTATACGTTCTCATATTCTGCTATTTACGTTATCGAGCATGTAATCCCGCCGTATACACGTTTCTCGGATCAATAAAGAGCCCGGGATGCAGGTTAATCCCGACGCAACAGGAGTATCGGAGACATTATTGATGGTGCATTGCCGTTATTCTCATACGATATGCGCAATGTCGATTACAAGATATAAATTCGATATTCGGGGCACCGAATATAATTTCGCTCTGCTAATCTAAAAATATAATAAAAGATTTTTATGCGAAATAATATTAACGAAAAATTCGTATCGTCGATAATTAAAATTCCTGCGCACCGATTAAAATGTTGGGATCAATAATTCATAAAATTTTGATGGCATATATAAAAATCTCGAGCTGCGAAAGTTATGTCGGAAAAATTAAAACACACGTTCACTTTAAATTTGCGTCACACATAAAAAAATTCGAGCTTCTATATACTTATCAAGATATTTTTACGGAGATTTATATAGAAAGTGTACATATAATTTCTATAAATATGTATTTCTCATTTGCGTGCGTTTATATTTTTATCTTCTTTGTTGCGCAAACTGATCCATATCTCTCTTTCATATGTTTTAAGACGAATTTATTAATCAGCATTCTGTGCTTGTACACGGAAAGAATAATTTTGCTGAATCCAGATCTGAAAATAACTTTTGTTCAGTAATCAAAATAATTTTGTGCGAAATTCAAAATGATTGTTAGAATATCAAAACGTTTTATAGCAATACTTATCAGTTTTAACATTCCAACAAATTATTTGATAATTCAACAAAAAATTATTTACAGGTCTGTTTTTAGCAAAATTTTTAGATCTTTCAACAAAATCGTTCTTTCCGTGTATATATTTATACATAACATGCGCGATATGAGCACAGGTCGAAATGTTCTCATGAACAGTCTGCTTCATAAAGGCATATATCTTCTTTCAGGTCAAGTTGATCTCTGGACACAGAGCACCACCGGCTGCGCCTGCAGCTTTAACTCATCCAGCAAGGATTGCGCTTGTTGCGTGCCGTCGGGCGGCTGCAGCTGCGGCATGGCTTCGCCCGATAGATGCGCTCAGTGCGGCCTGGAGCAGCATTGCGCGAATAGTAAGTGTCATTAGATTAATCCTGACTTATGCAGCAAGATTGAGTTTCTTGAAATTATAACGCTCTCTTATGCCGTTAACGTTTTTACTACAAATCAAGATTTCGTCGTGCAACCACATTTTTGACGGCCGGACATTAATTAAAACCGAATGGGCGCATATTGTACATTTTAAGAGAAGAGACGCGTTTCTCTCCCGCGAGCGCTTTAATCCGCATACGCATGTAAAGCGTGGCATGGTATAAACGTAAAAACTTATTAATCTCGTGAGCGGTAAGCGCGGAAATTCTTTCTCACTGTCGCTTTCGCCGCTTTTTTTCTTTTTTTCTGCCTGCCGACGATCAACTAACCGACGTATTTGCTCTCTCTCTCTCTTGGTCCTATGAGGAAATATAATTACGTCGCGTCAAAAAGACATGGACGACCTCTTTGAGGCTGTGTCGAGGCTAGAAACAAGGTCCGCGCCATTAAGCCACTTGCCTCTCGCGCTGCTTCTCGTTTGCAGCCTCGCCCGTGTCGCGCGAACAAGTGGAAATTAAAGCGCCGCGGCGGGCGAGTCTCTTTGGAAGTGGCCCGCTTGACGGCGCGGGGGGAACGCGGAGGTGGCGTGATTCAAAGAACAAACGCGGGGGGGGAGGGGCGGAAGGCAAAGGGGAACCGGGGGGACGTTTGTAAGAGGATGAGCGCGCTCGGCAATGCGCTCAAAAGACGCCGCAGATATCTGAAGTGAAGAAGGCGTGGTTCCGGTCCGGTACCGTGCGTTTGCGGTTCGTTTTGCACAACAGAATAAATCGGTATCGAAGAAATTACTCCTGCGCGATCTACACCCGCCCGTTCGAGACCTCTTTCTTTCTTATAACTAATCACTCTTGACGAAGTTCTTATGCCTCCATCCATCTAACCTTTCTTCGCGCTAATTACTTGGGGCGATATTGCCTTCGTGTTCCATCCATCAAATTCTTCTCTCCTCGGATTTCTTTTAGCATCGCAGGATATACATGACTCGTATATGAGCGCGTATAGGTGTATTTCGGAATTGGAAGGGTTTACAAATTGTTTCTTTTTGCGCGAGCTGATGGAATTATTTGCAATATAAAATAAGAATTTTTTATAGCAAATATAAAAATTGATTGCTTTTGATGTTTTAACGTGGACAAATAATTTTGTATAACAAATGCTGGATTTCTCAATTACGAAGAACTGAGATTACGCAGATCAAGGAACATTTAATAAGTCTCAAATTTTCATCAAGATTTGTGTTGTCTTTGACGTAAATTTTAGACTCTCTATCGCTTGAATATATACAAGAGAATCGTAAAACAATAATACTGATAATCTCACGTCGAGAAGAAATAATTTCCAAGAAATATGCCACGCTTTACAAGAAGGTATTCGCATTACAATCACGGAACCTCCTGCACAACATCCTACGGGAAGCAATTAAGAATCAAATTACACACTATGGCAGATTGCCTCATAATATTGCGCCAAGCTGTCGCGACTCGTCGTCGCCCGAACAGAGCACGGCTGCACAGAGAATGCGCGCCAATGAAACTGCGAGTAAGAAAAAGTCATTATTAGCTGCACTTTATTTTTTTTTTGCGCCTTTTCATTGCCATTTTTCTCGCATGATCGCGGAATTTCACGAGAAATCGTAAAAATTCGATATTACAGAATAGAAAAATGCAATTATATTTTACTTTTAATATTCGTATTTTTTAAAATTCTACACGGAAAGAACAATTTTTCTGAATCCAGATCCGAAAAGAATTTTTGTTCAATAATCAAAATAATTTTGGGCGAAAGTCAAAATGATTGCTAGAATATCAAAACGTTATAGCAATACTTATCAGTTTTAACAAATCAGTTTCCAACAAATTATTTTGGTGATTCAGATCGGAAGAGCACAC